TAATAAAGGCTTATTGAACTGTTGATTGATATATACAAAACTGGGAGGGATTTTAAAGATCTATACAATTCCCTCATGTTACAGTAAGGGATATTGAGGCACAGAGTGGTCATGGGACTTTCCCAAGGTCACATAGTGAGTAGCAGAGCAAGGAATACAGCTTGGGTCCTCAGATTAAAATCCACTATTTTCCACCCATTCCATCATAACTAACCCTTCCTGCTATAAAATGGAATCATTTTATGATTTAATTGGTACCTTGGGTTTCATAGACTCTGATTCCAATATTCTGCAGGGAGATTTTTTCTTGCTTAGGTCAGAGTATGACCAGTGGGACCTTATGCCAATTAGGGACCATTTCTATCCTAAGTAATTTGATTTCTCCTCTGTTTTGGCTGCTCTAATCCTTTTCATGTCTTCCTCTCACCCTGCTGGTCATCCCCTTCTTTTCCTGACCTCTGGAAAACAGAACAAGCCCTATTACCTGTTTCTCCCGCCCTTGAATCTCCTTTCCTCCCCTCCTCTCTCTCCTGCTCTCTCACTAACTGATCCAGCTGCTTAACCAATCAACCTAAATAGGTAATACTAATTACCCTCTCTTTGAACTTTCCTGTCATCCCAATAGCATGGGGCTTTCAGAGAGGGTGATCCAGCTGTCTGCGTCCTTACAATTATCCCAACCACATGCCATTGACCCAAGAAGGCAACCCTCAGGGACGCCTCAGAATGTCAGAATTAATGATCAGAAGAGCGGTTGGCAGGGCCTTTCTCTTCCCAGAAGGTTCTTGAGGTACTTGGGCCAAAATAGGGGAAAATGACCTCATCCATAGCCTAGGAGACAATATAATGTTGGAAGGGAAGGTGGGAGAGAATCCCAGCCAGGGAAGAAAGGAGGAGAAGCAAGCACCTCCCAGTAGGTGACATCTAAAATCATACAAGAAATCTCCTTTAGGATGCCTGCAGTTCAGGAGCAGGCCTGAGGCTGCAGTATTGAGGGATGAGTTGTGGGTGGGTATAGAGGTGGACAGGCAGGTGGCTCAGTGGATAGAGAGTTGGGCTTGAAATTCAGAAAGACTCATCTTCATGTGTTCAAATCTGGCCTCTGGCACTTACTAGCTGTGTGACCCTGGGCAAGTCACTTAATCATGTTTACCTCAGTTTCCTCATCTGTAAAATGAGCCGGAGAAGGAAATGACAAGCCACTCCAGTATCTCTGCCAAGAAAACCCCAAATGGGGTCATGAAGATTTGTGATGGCTACAAGTCATCTCCAAAATCCAACCCTCTATCTACTGGGCCACTTAGCTGCCTAGAAAGAGCTGATTTTATTTGGATCCAATCATGTCACCATCTTTACCCCAAGACCTGTTTCCTTTGTCATAGCTCATCACTTGTGGCATAAAAGGAAAAATCAGGTGATTTTACTCTAAGGCATGACTTGGTGGCTGCTTACACTGAAGTTAACCTACCACCTTTATATCAAATTTACGTGGTTTTCCCTGTGCTTTCTCTCCATGGGCTCAGTATTCACTCCCTGGAACGCTGTCAGGGTCAACATCAAACTTCCCCTTTTGGAGCCCTGACCCTTACAGATCTCTTTGAAAAATGGCACCTAAGATCCTGGAGGCCCTTCCTACTGGGCCTTCTTCATCTAGAACCTTACCTTGCATTCCCCAGTTTTAAGCAGCTCTCTACCGATGATGTAACCGTTTTTCTGGAATTCAACTTCTGGGGAATATTGCCACAGCTCTGTGAAAGTAGAGTCTGTCTGCTGGTTCCCGCTCGTCCCCAGGCTTATTTGTCTCCTTAAAGAGCTCTGGTATTATTAGTGAGATTCTGTTTCCCTTTATAGAAGTCATCATATCTTTCCCATAATAGATTATGCCTACTTAAGTATTTAATGAACCTATACTTTGTTATGAATCCCATGTTTAAGGAAGAGAGAGAAGGGAACAAGCATTTATTAAGCACTGACTGTCTCAGGCATTGTGCAAAAATGCTTCATAAATTTCATTTGATCCTCACAACAACCCTGGGAGGGAGGTGCTATTATTATCCCCATTTTATAGATGAGGGAACTGAGGCTAAGTGAGGTTAAGTGACTTCTCCAGGGTCACACAACAAATAAGTGTCTGGATTTGAACTCAGGTCTTCCTGAGATTCCTGGCCTAGCACATGATGATAATAATAATAACAACAATAACAATAATAATAGCTAACATTTATATAGCACTTCCTATGCTAAGTGTTTTATAAATATTATTTGATCCTCACAACAACATTGTGAGGCAGGTGCTGTTATCCCCATTTAACAGATGAGAAAACTGAGGCAAACAACCTTGCCCAAGGTCACACAGTGAGTAAATTTGAGTAGATTTGAACTCAGATCTTCCTGAGATTCCCAGCCCAGCACTCTCTCCACTGTGCCTATTAGTCCTGGGATTGGTCACCATCCCTATTCTAGGTGGGGCTTGACAAGAAGTTCATGATCAAGTTTTCTTGGAATACTCACACATTGGTCTGCCTAGTCTCGGTGAGCTAGTTGGACTCGTGATGGCTTTTCAGTATATTATTTAGTAGTAGGAAGAGGACATTGTACAATTGTGCCTTTGGACAGTGGAAGAATGGTGTGATGGAAAGGAATGAAAGTCAGGAGACCTCCCTGGATTCCCATTGTGGGGAATAAGGATGGGGGGCCTTATATGAGGTGATGAGAGGTTAGATGGTCTTATCTAGGAAACTGACCCTGATCTGATGGTCTCATCTGAAACCCAGCCTATATCATATCGTCAAGGAGGCCACATATCATCAAGGAACCTTGAAGCCAATGGTGTAAAAAGGTTTGGAAGGAGATCAAGCTGAAGGGTTTGGCATTCCTTGAAAGGCAGATGGGCACAGCACAAAAAGGGCTGGAATTGGAGCCTGAAGACATGAGTTCAACTCATGGTGCTAACACTTGATAGCTATGTAGTCTTGGGCCAAAAGCTTGCCACATCTCAGCTTTGTTTCCCTCTTCTGTAAAATAGGGATAATAATACTTGCATTCCTTATCTCATAGAGTTGTTGTGAGGAAATTGTTTTGTAAGCTTTCTAGAAATGCAAGTTGTTTTAATTATTAGACTCAGAGCACTGTAGACTTGTAGAACCAAAGAGAATTGCTTCGGAGTCAGGAACTGGGTTCATATTCTGGCACCTCTACCGACTCACTGTGTGACCTGGGGCCTCTCCGAAACTCAGCTCCTCCTCTGAAAAAACATGGGAGGTTGGATGAGGTGATCTCTAAGGCCTGTTTCACCTCTACATCTGCAGTCCCTTAAAGAGCCCCTTTCTCTTGCGAAGGAGTCCCAAAGAGTGGAAAGAGCTTGTCCGATTCCACAGGCATGATTAACTTCAGCACACTGTCAAACCCAAGCCTTTCGATTCCCAGTCCAGGACCATTTCTGCTACATCATGATGCCTCCTTGGCTTTGCCTGGCTGTCTGAGGACTGTTTAGAGTCATCCTTCCTATTCTCCCAAAGCTAGAGTGAAATCCAGGCGGGCTGATCTAGACTGGGCTGGGCTAGGCTGGAGATCCATTGAAGACAGATCTTTGTACCCTTCATATCTCCATTCCTTCTCTGGAACTCCAGGCAGAGATAGGGAGAGGCTGACAGGGAGTTATGATGATTCACGATCCTGACTCCCTGGGCTACACTCAGGCTTGGCAGCTGCAAGAAATGGAGGAGCGTCTGTTAATTGCCTTGCCTATAAAGCAGTCTGGTTTATAGGTTGTATGATTGTGGGTCAAAGTCCCTTGGTGGAGAGGATTTGACAACCGGCCTAAGCTTGTTTCAAGGATGCGAGGGGCGAGACGGCAATGCTTTCCTTGACCTTTGCTGCTCCTTTGAAGTCTGTATTTCATCACAGATTATCAGGGCTGGATGGGCACTTGGAATCTTTCTCATCCAGCCCTCATCTTTTACTTCGGAGACCACTGAAGTCCAGAGGAAATAATGTGCCAAGGTCACATAGCAGTGGAGCCAAGACTTGCCCCCTCAGGTCAACTAAATCCCAGACCAGGGCTCTGCACACACTGCCTTTCTGACTTGGTGGATGTTGTAATTGGTGTGAACCTTGGGTTTTGTTTAGTCCTGGGAAATATTGCTGCATATGATTCAAGTCTATGAAGATTTTAATTGTAGTGTATTTCTTTGTGACGAGAGGAGAGAAAGAAGCAAACATTTATTAAGTGCTTACTGTGTGCCAGGAAATGTATATGAATATTGTGTCATTTGATCAATTATAGCAGGATGTTTTTATCTCTTGGGAGGCTGCCATTATGTCTAACATATTGACAATGATATGTCTCCTTCTTCTCCACCAACTTTTTAATGGCTGGTACTCAGCCTTTTCCACCAGTGCCATAACCAAGGCTGGGTCATAAGAGCTTTGCCTCAGGGTGCTAACATTTAAAGGATACTGACAATACTTGAGGTTCCTTTAGCAGCATAGATACAGCTGAACTTAGTACCTTGTTAGCAAGCATAATTAGATAAAACAAGAACCTACCAGATGATGACTTGCCTTGACGGGGACATCCCGTGTGATCTCCCCTTCTCTTCAATAGACTCGTTTTATCTGTCTCCTTGTCTTCCCCTCCACAAAAAATATTGATTTAAGGACATATTCCATGTTGTTTTATCCCCAATGTGCTTTGTGAAGGTTGCCTTGCTGGGCATCCATTCCTCACTTTCTCATCCCTTCTAGAGGACAAAATGACACAGTAGAAAGAGAGCTGGGTTAGAAGTTAGAGGGTCTGACTCTGCTACTTATTTTCTGTGTGTCCTTGGCTGGTTACTTCCTTTCTCAGAGGGTTTATAGCCAGAAGGTACCTTAGACACCTGGAGTGGTCTGCTAGTGTGTGTGTGTGTGTGTGTGTGTGTGTGTGTGTGTGTGCATGCACCATGAACATGAATCTCCCTGTGGTAACTGGTTTCTCTCATCTTTCTATGTCATTGCAGGAGGGTGGTGTTGTGGCCCTCTTCAAGATCTGCCGGCAGGACTGTTTCCGGTGCCTGTATCCCCAGACATTACGTACTCTTGCTTCTATCTGCTGTGTGGAGGAAGGCATTCACCAGCTGGAGAAGGTATCCTCTCTCTGACTGCTGCTTTTACAGAAACAGGCATTCAGAGAAAAATGTCAGGAGGGGGAGGGGGGGTTGAGGCAGGCCTCTGTTGCTGCAACAATCTGTAGTTTTTTTTTGACATGGTGTCTAGGAGAGAACCTTGAAGACTTTTCATCTTACCTCCTGACTTCACTGGGGCCTTATTTTTTCATGGTCTGGGCAGGAATATTAATATTTCTTCCCAAATCCTCATGGATAAGATGGGGGGGGGGATGTGGACTAGATTATGATGCATTTAGGTGGATTTGGGATTAAGTGAACAACCAGATTCAAAGTATGATAAATAATAGATGCATATAATCTGAAGGAAGGCCTCTGGTGGGTCATAGGACTGTCTTTGTAGTTCTACAATGTGACATACTTATTAATGGCTCAGATGAAGGCATAGGCGGCCCACTTATCCAATTTGTGGATGTCAGAAAGCTGGGAGGGACTGCTGGTTCGGATCCATAGAAGATCTGGATGGTCTGGGACCAAAGGCTGAATATAGTAAGAAAAAAATCTAATAAGGATAAATGTAAAGTCCTACTTTGGGATTAAGAAACACATGGTATAACTAGAGGATGGGAAAGCCATGGCTAGGAAAAGGTTCTGTGAAAAGACTTTTAGTAGATTTCAAGTTTGCTAGGAATCAAGAATATGCCATTATTATTATTACAGCCCCTAAATCTGATGGGATATTAAATTCCATTAAGTGTTCTGAGGTGTGTTGATCCTGCGGCCCTCTGTCCTGGTCAGACCATAGATGGAGATCATGTTCTAGGCAGGACATTGACATCCAAAGCTGGACTGGATCTAGAGGTGTGGGAACTAAGATGGTCATAGGATCATAGATTTAGAGCCAGAAGGGATGTTAGCGTCTGTCCACTCCAAGCTCCTCATTTTCCAAATGAGGAGACTGAGAAGGGCCTTCTTCTCCTGTCACTGTTCATTCCAAAGAGCAGCGGTTGGGGGGAGTGGGTAAGGGGAGAAGGGGGATGGATTTGTGCAGATGCCTGGAATTATAGAACTGCCTGCAAAGGCCATTCTGTCCACCCATGAACAATGGGAGGAAAGATGAAAGTGACCTCCTGTTTGCCGGAGTAGGAGCACCTCTGTCGGCCTGCCCCCGGTGAGCTCACCTCTCTTGGTATGCAGAAGACTCACCCTCCAGAGCTGAATGACAAACCTCTTCAGTGTGATGATAGGTAACTTTGGCCGCTCCATTTCAGGGGCAGCCAAGGGCCCCCAATCAGAGGCCCTGAATACAAACAGCGGCTGTACATCGGTGACCCAATCAGGAGGCGCCACAGAGAGTGTTCTAGGAAGACCAGGCTTCGGTGCGGCTCTCTCCATGTCTACCCTCACTGTTAGCATTTGTCTTCCTCAAGTTGTGGTCTCCAATTCTTTCTCCCTTCCTCCCCGCCACCAGACTGGGGGGCTTGTTGGGGCAGAGGAGAGCTCACCAGCCTGCGGTGTCTAGTGTGCAGGGGGAGGAGAACATCCCTGGACCACAGGGAATGTTGGGAAGGAAGGTTTGGGCAGGAAACTGGTGACTGAGGACCCTGAGGGGTGCCCTGGCCATCTCATTTCATAGGATCTTAGGTCTGGATCTAGAAGACGTCTTAGAAATCATATAATCCAAATACCTCATTTTAGCGACGAAAAGATGGAGGCTTAGAAAGATGGAATGATTTTTCCCAGGGTCACACAGTTAGCAGAGCTGGGTCCTCTGACCCAAAATCTGGTGCCCTTTCCCCTAGGATGCCTCCCTGCTTCCTTTTTAGGTAGTGTGGTGCAGTGGGAAGAGGCTTGGAAGACCTGACTTTGCGTTCTAATTCTGCTATTAACATGCTATGTGAACTTGGGAAAGGCCCTTTTCTTCTCTGGAAATATTTTCTCTTCTCTAAAATGAAGGGACTTGCACCAGATGACCTCTGAGGTCTTTTCCAAATGAAACATTTTAAGCTTCATTTAGTCCAGTCTACCAACCTCCAAAATCCCCTCTGGCATCATAGACAAATATCATCCTTGGACACCCTATGAGGGGCAGTTCATTACCTATAGAAATAGGCCAGTCCGTTGATGGACAGCTGTGCTTGTCCAGTGCCCTGGATTGGTCAGATCTAAAGTTTCTAGGCTCTTCACTCTTCCATCTTTTCATTTGTTTTTGTTCAGTCATGTCTGACTCTTCGTGACCCCATTTGGGGTTTTCTTGGCAAAGATACTGGAGTGTTTTGCTATTTCCTCCTCCAACTCATTTTACATATGGGGAAACTGAGGCCAACAGGGTTAAGTGACTTGCCCAGAGTCACACAGCTAGTAAATGTCTAAGGCCAGATTTGAACTCAAGAAGATGAGTCTTCCTGACTCGGGGCCTGGCGCTGTATCCTCAGCGCCACCTAGCTGCCTTCCCCATTCTCTCATATCCCGCACTGAAATATGGGATCCTCTCGGTCTTAGGACACTATATCTTTGGTTCTAGCTCTTTCCACCTCTGTCCCGTTTTCCTGCAGGCCCTAACACAGCACTGATGACAATAGATTGGATGCAGAGCCAGGCCTGTGCCATCAGAAGAGATCTCTGTGCACATATGATGGATGTCATCAGCAATGTTCCTTCTAGTGTCTGAGAACCGCAAGCAGATAGGCCCACAGCCCCAGACTGGGGTGGCCAGAGATCACTCAGTGTTGGACTCAAATAAAATTGAATTAATCTGATGCATATTAATGCCATGGCCAAGTTATTGTCTGTGTGGCAATTAGCCCTAAATACTGAGCAGTCCTCGTAAATGACTGTAATTAGGATTAGCTTTATAGAAGCCAAGCCAAGTTGTAATTTTTTCCTTCCCTCTGTTCATTTGCTGGTATCTCTAAATAGGATTTGAGTGACTAGTTTCCCCCAATTCCTCATTCAGCTTAATTCTCTTCATACATGATGCCCTGAACTCATTGAAAGGTGGAGTTCACAAGAGCTGGGGATCCCTGGGCCCCTGAGCTCTTATATCCCAAATGCAAGGCTTGTGATGCCCTATGCCTTTTCTACTCCTTCCCCTCCTTTCCTCCATCCTGTAGAGCTAAGTCTCCTTGAGCTCCCAGCCTCACCCTAATATCTCCCTTCCTCCTTCTTCTGATATTGAGGGCTTAGGCTCTCCTGTTATTCCTCCTTGTCCTATCTCCCCCTCCTCAGACCTTTGGAGAAGTCCGTTCACTTGCTCCCTAGCGTTCTGAGAGGTAGAGGGATGAGGTTAGAGTCAGTGGTAACATTGGGGAAGCCCAGATAGATCATCATCACAGGGCTGAACCGTGGTACTTGCCTCAAGACAGGGAGAAGACCCATCATGATAAGGCATAAAGTAACTTTTTAAATTAATTTATTTATTTTTAGTTTTCAACATTCACTTCCATAAGCTCTTGAGTTTTAAATTTTCTCCCTCTCTCCTCCTCTCTCCCCAAGACATCATGCAATCTGATATAAGCTCTACATATACATTCCTAGTAAACATGTTCACATTAGTCATGTTGTAAAGAAGAAATAGAACCAATAGGAGGAACCACCAGAAAGAGGAAACAAAACAAAACAGAAGGAAAAAAAGAGCAAGTAGTGTGCTTCGATCTGCATTCAAACTCCATAGTTCTTTCTCTGGATGTGGATAGCATTTTCCATCATGAGGTTTTCGGAGATGTCTTAGATCCTTGCATTGCTGAGAAGAGCTAAGTCTATCAAAGTTAGTCATACCCAATGTGGCTGTTACTGTGTATAACGTTCTCCTGGTTCTGCTCACTTCAGAGTGAGTAACTTTTGAAGCAAATTTGATACATTAGAAAAGAACGCTCGATATGGGACCAAGAGGCCTGATTTCAAGACCTGGGTCTGCCATTTTGATTCCCTGTGTGACCTTGGGCATGTTACTTTGCACTACTTGGGTCTCATGTTCCTCTTCTATGGAAGAATCCTAATTTATAATCCTGTTCTGTTTCTTACCCTAATTCCATTACTAACCCTAAGTATTTTTAGCTTTAAATCCTGGGACCCTGTAAGATGATGATATCAAGGTCCCTTCTAATTCTGACAGTCCGTGATACTATGATCTCATCCTGGAGGTTCCTGCCAGTTTAGGCTCTATCAACCTCTCCTCTCCCTTTCCTTCTTGGCTTTGTGCCTTCACCTCTCCTATCCTTTGATTCTACAATCCAACAAACATTTATTAAGCATCTACTGTGTGCTAGGTTCTGTTCTGGGCACTGATACTTGCAGTCCCACTCCTGGGTCACCAGACTATGTTGACTGAAGCTTGTGTGATGCCCACTCCTTCATCTAGTCTCCTATCTCATGACAATCCAGCATACTGGAGCAACTTTCATTTTACAGATGAGGAAACTGAGGCCTAGGACATTAAAATGATTTTCCCAATGCCACACAACTGATAAGTTGCAGAGCCTCAGCTTGTACCTTTGTCTTCTGATTCTAGGTCCAGCATTCTTTCCCTGGCTAGGACTATAAAACTGCCCTGGCTACCCCAGCCCTCAGTCCCCTGCCCATTCTTCAGAGGAGGGGTCCAGGGAATGGGTAATGGGGCAAACCTCATAGAATTATAGAATTTCAGAGCTGGAAAGGACCCTAGAAGGCACACAGTCCAACCTGTCTCTGAACAGGGCTCGCCTTCACAACCTCGGTGACAAGTGGCCACTTAGCCTGTCGTGGAAAACTCTCCCCTACTCCTTGCTCAGTAAATGGAGACTCACTACCTTTGGAGGCAGTCCATTCAACCTTTGGATAGTGCTAATGGTCAGAAAGTGTTTACTCATATCCCACCCAAAGTTATGTCTTTACAATTTCCATTCCATACTTGTAGTTCTGCCTGGTGGGGCCAAGCAGGACAAAGCTAACCCCTCTTCTGCTTGGTTACTCTTCAAATATTGGAAAGCAATGATCAGATGGTCTTTGGAGGAGAAAACCAAGGGGCCTTGGTGGTGGTGAGA